ATTTTCTAAAAATTCTCCAATACTAGAAAAATCATCTAGAAACTAGAACTGCTCATAAAATCTACCAGAAAATATTTTTAAGCCAGAAAATGCAAAAATTATGCAATTAAGGGGCAATAAACCCTAGAAAAAATATTAGGGTTTTACGGGTTCTCACATCTTGAATAATGTAGTTTCATTTGGTTTAATCTTATTGCTTTAGGCTTATAACCATAACTAACTAGATAATAACAAGATAATTGAGCCTTGCATGTAGTTAATTAATGGGTTAAAACCAAAATAAAATCACAATGCAATCAGTTTTCATGCCACAACAACCGAGGTTTGTTTCTGGAAATTTGCTGGAAAATGGTTGACTTTCACTTGGTTAGGTGCTTGACTAATTAAAAATCAGATGATTAAGTCTTGCATGAGGTTAATCAGTCGGCTAAGCAAGAAATAAGGATGTAACAAAAGAATTTGCTGCATGCAAGAGCATCCGAGAATGGTTGAACAAAATTCTGGAATTGTGGATGATAGTAGTTGCTGTCCGAACCTGATTTAAACCAGAGCTGATAGTAATTCCACTAATTAGTCATGCATGTTGGTTTTGAGTACCTAATACAAGGTTTTAGCTGAAGAAACTCCAGATTTGTGTCTAACTTAGCTGCTGGAAATTTTCTGGAATAGCCGAGAGACTTCATGTTTGTTTGCATTTGTAATTGCTGTCAAATGGAAAATTTTGTTATAAATTGCATATAGATTATTAGCTTTAAGTATTAAGTGAAGTTTAATGGAGCAAAATCTGAGGAAAAGTTGAATTGTGGATTGAAACCGAGGGAAATTTTCTGCTGCAAAATATTCCAGCTTGGTCGAGAGAAGGAAGTGAGCATTTAATTAGTTTTGTTTTCGAATTTCAATTCAGATTTTCGTATTGGCTGTTTAAGATTTGCTTGAGGCTTGCTAATCACATGTTGCATGTTGAGCTGAGGTAAGAATTGAAGAAAACTAGGAACAAAAGCTATATAAATAAACTATCAATTGCAGGCAACTTTTATCTTAGCTGATGACAGATTTATGGGGACTTTTTGGTGGAATAATTTATTGGAATTAAGCGTTATTTGCTTTGGTATATGCTGGTATGAATATCATACTTAAATGTATGATGATTTGAATAAGAGTATTATGGTTTTAAAAGAGGAAAAGGAGTTTTTCACAAGTGAAAAATGAGTTTCCAGATTTTCGGATTTCTCTGACCAGTCTCAGTAAAATGCTTATATCTTGGTGTAGGAAAATCCGATTGAGGTGCCGTCAGTGGCATTTGAAACTAGAGTCATGGGCCTTTGTTTTGTAGAAATGTCATATTTTTCCTCCATGTGTACTGCTGTCCGTGATTCCTCAAAGTAGGCTGTCCTGTTTGAATGTCCTGTTTCCTCAGGAAACTGAATTCTTGACTTGGATAGAATATTAGGCCCATTTGTGATTTGAATCTCTGAAAAGTGTCTTCTGGGATGTGATAGTATTAAAAATCTATTCTACAACAGTATAATTTTCATAACTGTTTGATTTGTGGAACATGAACTAAAGCAATTTTTGAAGGAAAATATTTTTCCAGCATGACCGAACTGGTTGGGACTTTTGGTGAGTTTATTTGCTGGATTTGTGTATTATTTACTTTAGCTTGGTTTGGACAGATTATAATCTATATGTATAGTGATTCTAGCAAATAAAAGTGGAAAGTTTAATGGATATTTTAGATTCTTGGAATCATTTGGATCTCAAGTTGGTTGTAGTTTTTGTTCTTGTTTTGAATGAATTGGTATTTGAAAGTGTGTATTGGTTGTCAAGAGCTAATGATTGATGAAACCATTGGCCATTTGAATGACTTTATAAGTACTACTGGATGATGAAAGTTAATTGCTGGAATGTCTTGGAGGCCTTACTTTTATTTTTATTTGCTTATGATGGGCTTGCTGAAACCAAGTGCTAATGGTTGATGAAGCCTTGGTCGTTCAATTTTATTTTTATCAGAAATGCAATTGTTGAAATCTAGGGCTAATGATTGACGAAGCCCTAGTGATTTGCTATGTGATTTTGCCATATTTGATCCATAATATGATTGCGAAATGGAATCAAAACTGTGAAAGTCGTTTCGACCTTGCGAACTCGAGTAACTGTGATCAAATTAATCAAAAATATTTTTCCAGCTAGTATTAGATTATAAAACTCAATATCTAGTGTTTTGCCTAAAATTTTCCAACTCGATAAATTTTCCTTTAGCTTAAACTAGCCTTAATAGTTATAGAAAATAATTTCTCTAGCTTTTGAAAACCCCAAGTCTTATTTTAATTCCTTTTCTTTCTTGAAGATTTGCCTTGGATAGTTGTCGGTAGGAAAAGTTCCAAAATAAGAGTTTTAATAGCTTTAATTAAAAATGTAGAAACTTGCTCAGCAAGAAACTTTATTTTAGATAAAATAGTTTTTAGTGACAATTTTTACAAGAACCATAGCTTAAAAGAAATCTTTCGAAGTATCTTTCTAGTTTTGATATTAAGTGGTTTGTCGATTTATCTCAAGAAAATAATACTAATTACCTTTTATAGGGAAAACTACAAGAAACATTTTTACTACTTTTGCCAAGTTTCAACCTAAGTAAATCTTTGAATTTACTTCGAAACGATAAACTAGTTATATACTCGATAAACCTTTATAGTTATAAACCTGGAACTTGAATAGAAATTGAAAGTGTTATATTTGTACTTTAAAGGTCAAACTTGATTTTAATAATTTTAAATAAACGGCGCAGAAAGCTTGTTTGGCAAGAAATCTTATTCAAAGCAAATTGGTTCTGGTTTGCACCTCTAGAAAGAAAGAAATCCTACGAAGTATTTCATCACTTTCATCAGTTTAACTCTAGGGAAATTGTTGATTTATTTGGAGTAGATAAACTAGTTATGTACTAGATAACCTTGTATTTATAAACCAAGAACCCGTATAACAACACTTATAGTTTTAAAACCTGGTTTTCTAGGGTATTGGAGGACGCGGAATTCGATTCCAACTTGATATCTGACCTCCACTCTTGGTGAGTGTCCCTGCTTGTTTTATGCCTATGTGGTTAAGTGCTTTATCAACTCGCTATGTGATAACTGTCAAAATGAAATAAATGGTTTTTGATCCATCAAAGTGAGCAGTGTGTACTTTATCGCACTAGCCGTTCGAGTGGTGGCTTGTGTGAATCATTTTTTTATAAATCTAAATGTAGTTACGTCGTTGGGTGAATCCCTCGACGCGTGAATCTAACTACCATAAATCTAAACGTAGTTACGTCGTTGGGTGAATCCCTCGACGCGTGAATCTAACTACAATAACGTCGTTGGGTGAATCCCTCGACAAATTTTATACTGGTATATCTCGAGTATACTGCGTCGGTAGTCGAAGTTCGGGCCCGAAGCAGAGGTATGAACGGTGACGGGTTAGGATTAAAATAAGTGGATCTACATGGACTATAAGTAGTGAAAGTTGACGGAGGGTCAACTACGATGGTATCTGATCAAGCGTGGAAAATGGCTCCTGAGAGCCCCTGTATCCTACCTTGTGCTGTTACACGCTTTCCTAACTGTTCAATTTGATTAAATTATTACTCGTTGTTTGATTTATGTGATTGCATGTTTTGGGGCACCACTGAGCTTTAGCTCACCCCACGTTTATTGTTTTCCTTAACAGGTTCTGGAAACTGAAAGCGGGATGCTTACTTATGTTTTTCTTTTTGGACTGTATTTGAATACTATAACTTATTCTGTGGGCTGTAATGTGTTATTTGGGATAATGTATTTTCCTTTTTGGGTTGCGACTTGAAGCTGAAAAATGTGTAAACCCTAATTCAATTACTTGGCTTGTAAGCTTGTATTATGGATTTATGTATTTATGTATCTGGTTGGGTACGACTTATACTTCGGTACGTAGCACGTAGGTCGTTTAAGGGCCTCGACTGGCTAATTTATCACTGCTATCTCTGAAGTTAATGTGGTTTTAAGGATGATCCTATTCGGGAAAAATTGTTTTGTAATAGATTAGGTTAATCTTCGAAAGGATTTGGGTTAGAATGCTTGCGTGAGTTCTGGCGAAAGTTGGGCAGACGGCCCGCCAACCCTTTGGTTCGCCTCAGGGGGAAGTGGGGTCGCCACAGTATCGATAAACAAAAAATTAGACAAATATTGATCTAATAGGATAGTCTTCTAAAACTATGCTTACGGTGCTTACAAAGCCAAATAAAAGGAAGGCTACTGCAAAAGATACCAGTTCGGAAACTAACCAAAACTTGTCCATAGAAACCAGAGGAATACTTCTAAATAGGATTACAGTCCATAACCATGGTTTGTACATTCAATTGTTTCATCTCTGTGTGGGAGATGCAACATCAGATGTAACTGAGGCAGCATAAAGAATTTTCCAAACTTGGAGAGAATCCCTTGAGGCAAGGTTATTAGATGTAGTCACAACTCAATTTTCTCAATATAGTGCTCCAATTTGTCTCAAAAAATATTAATGGCAAGAGATACAAGAACTAAATTTTAGACCAACTCCTCTCACTTAGCCATTAACTTATCTTGTCGCATATCAGACATGAACAATTAACTGCACATGTTAAATGATGTCTAAACACAATTGCTAAATGAAAGAGAATATTAGTACTCATTACATAGCCGTTTAGGTTGTAGTTGATTCCTTCTATAAGCATACTAAAGATGTTTACCAGTGCTATGTAAAGGTAAACAATATCATTTTAGTTGAATAAAGACTCCAAAACTAAAGAGGCTACATTTTCATGCAACAGTTGAGATGGATAACCATCATGGATTGCCAAAAATGTTAACAACCAAATGATACTTGAATCTTTAATCATCCTCAAAAACACACATCACCAGGAAGGAGATGCAAAATATGTTACACCAGAATTTACCTTTTACCAGATTTGACAGACCATTTTCCTTCAAACTTCTTGAAATCACCATCAACCATCAAAAACTAGAGTTCACGGTCATTTGCCTGAATAAATTTCATTTGCAAATAGTTAACCGAGATAAAGTTATCACATAAGAATGCCTAGTTACTGCTACCTACTCTATCATAATGAAAATGTAGTTTAACATCTCACATTATATTACTTGCAATAACTACTTTGTTGTCTTTGCCTTTTGTAATCTCACAAAGGTTTAACAAATCACGTATCACCATCACAAGAAACTTGTTTTCCTGCCACAGTTGATGCAAAAAATAAAAGTAAGAAAATGGTGAAAAAGAAAAAGAACCACAAAACTGAAAGTTATCCAAACACAAGGTCTCATTCGGAGTAGAAAGAAGCCAGAAAATAGTCACTCAGCGAAGAAAGACTAAAAAACAGGAAAAATATGCAGCATAAAGCAATACACTTGTTCCTCCATCATTGATCCTGATATAGATCCTATTGCCCAGCAAGGTATTTAGGTTGTTCCACATCCAATCCTCACCATTCAGCTGTTTACTTAACTTCCTCAGCATCTGTTAACAAGATTCATCATACATGTCAACACCTTTTTTAAAAAAATTTTACATGTCAACTCCTTGAACAAATATAGAAGAAAATCATAATAACTATAGCAGTTTTGACAAGGAAAGATTTGAGCCCCATCATATTTAGAACCAAAATAACAATACTTAGTTTGCAGTTTCAGTTGGCATTACAAATGTATAAGAAGTCACCATTCATTACACTAAAAGCTTCACCTATGAGTAGAAGAAATACTCAACTAACTAGAAAAAATTCAGACATGAGTTCCACATAAGTCAATGAATATGAGCATGTCTTAACTATAGAAGAACCTAACAATTGAAAATAAATTCACAACCTGAGCTGAAGCACCTCCAAGTTCAATAATACCAGTTGTTTGCTTAGGATCACCTCCTAGAGTGCCAAGGGCATAATTAGCAACGACCCAGGCATATACACCTTCATCAGAACCTAAACAATGGATCATCCAACTTTAGACTTTCAAAATATAACAAGAATTAAATGCTAACAAAACCAGTTTATAAGAATTAATATGACTAAATAAAAGCCCATATAGCATTGCCAAGCTATTAAATAGGAAATGCAGTAGTTAGCATGAGACCAACATCCAAGTATATTTTACCCAGAATTCAAAAATCTAAATCTACCTATAATCTGGCCTTACTTACTTAGAGTTCAAATTTTGACTGCTTAGCAAGCACATTGTCACTTGAAGTTGAATAAACCAAAAAGATAAGCAATAACAAACACCTAACCAAGAAGTTATATCCACTCAGACAGGGTTGCAAAAGTTCACATTCTCAATGTCCAGATACGTCACTAGCATACCAACTAGAGCAAAACACTAGAATTTCCAACACTCTTACCATTGATTATACAAAACATGCTTCAAAATGCAGATCAGAGAACCAAAATTAAAAGAAATCCACAAGCCAAATGGCATCATACCGGAAATAACGGATGCCCAATCATCGTAAAACCTGAAACCCGAGCCCCTCAACACGGTTCGGCAAGCCTCCAAAATCCTATCTTGAACTCCTTTCTCCAACATCCTCAAACCAGCAGTTGCCATTAGCCTAATTTTAGTCTCCCTCCAGTACTCCCGAGGTACCCTTTTCCTCCCAAACTCCACCAGCTCCGCCACAATGGAAGCAGCCCTTTCCGGCTCCTCCGTAAAATCAGACAACCCTGGCTGTCCTTAGCCTTCTCAGCATCAAGGCAAGCCCCAATTTTCTTGAGAAGACTGATAGCATTGGAGGTTTTCTCCATGGCCTCAACAGAATCGGAGATCACACAGGGGATTTGCAGGACAGACTCGATCCGGTGGCTGCATGCCATGACAAGGGAAGGCACTGTAGAGGCGGCGATGGCAGAAACCACGGCATACCATTTCTTGTTAACTTGGACCTGCGGTGCCAACGGTGCCAGATCTTGGTCGGAGCAAACATGCGGCCACCGCAGCACATGATGCCATAGACACCCTGGCCGGCACGGTGAGTGCCACCACCAGGAACACGAGAGATATGGGAAACAGTGAGACCAGCACCCCAAGACTCGGCGGAGGTCTGGTGGCCGGCGGACCTAGAGACAGCGTAGGGTTGGCGAGAATTCTTGGAGATGTCGCGATGAATGTCTTGCTAAAATGATGTCCAAAATTTTTCTAAGTGTTATGAGTGTTTTTGTTTAACTTTTGCTAAAATGACGTCGTTTCTGCTTCTTTTGTTTACCCGTCTCTACTTGTTCAATTTTGTTCAATTTTTAGCTTTCCCCGCCTGTACACCAAATTTCAACTTCCCCCGCCTCTACTCCAATTTTGAGCTTCCCACTTCCATTTTAGGTTCAGCCAAAAAATAACGCTTTCAAGTGACTTTTGTACTAACTATTTGGACCTTTCTTTACAAAAACAACGCCTCTCTAGTATATCTCTTTTTCTTTTCGCTATCTTTGTGTAATTAAAGTTGTTTATTATTTTGAGTTTTTAGCTCATAAGTTGTATTAAAACTTTATTTGTTGCATTAAAACTTTAGAATATGAAATTTTAGTGTTTTTTGATAATGTTGTTTACTAACACAGGTTTTTTTTTTATCTCTACAAAAAATTAATGTCCAAAAACTAAAAAGCTTATTAAAAATATGTTTATGATTCAAAAAAAATCTTTTGATGTAAATATTTTTGGTATTATTTTAATAATTTTATGAATTATGTACGAATTATGGTTTGACAAGACCTAACAATACTGTTTAGTTGATCAAATAACCAAAATAGTTTGCTAATACATGCATGACACACTAAATGTTTTTGGTACAAGTACCGATTCATAAACCATAAACAATGTGACTATTGTAATTAATAATAAACTCCAGTCAACCAATTGGTTTACTAGTTAATAATAAACTAGTTGATCAAATAACCAAAATGGTTTACTAATACATGCATGAAACACTAAATCTATTTGATACACGTACTGATTCATAAACCATAAACAATTTGATTATTGTAAATTGTAATACATAACAAACTCCAGTCATGGAATTGTCAAGATTTTTACTTAATTTCATATTAAATTTTATTATTCTGTTCCATTATTTTCACACTATGTTAATCAGTAATTTCCCATATGTTGTCAAGAGAACTAAATAAAGAATTCATGATATTTTTTAACTTTATAACAAGGTATTAGCTATGTTTGGAATAATTGAAAAATAAGTAAACATTGTTTTTTACAATATATACCTTATTTTGCTAATGATAAACACAACTTAAAGTGTAAAAGCATAGGGTGACATAATAAAATTAATAAAAATTTTCTTTATCACATACGAGACTAAATTGCAAAAGATAAGGTGTCATGGTAGAGTTAATGAGATTAGTTTACCAAATACGGGGCTAAAATGTAAAAGTTCGAGTGTCATAATATAATTCATTAAATTTACTTGCAGCGTATGGGACATATAGAAAAAATTAAGGTGGTATATGGGGTTAAAATATAAAAGTTAGGGTGTCATAGTAGAATTAATAAAATTTATTTACAACACATGGGTCATATTGAAAAAATTAAGGTGGTATATGGGGTCAAAATGTAAAAGTTAGGGTGTCATAGTTGAATTAATAAAATTTATTTACAATACATGGGCCATATTCAAAAAATTAAGATGGTATATGGGGTTAAAATGTAAAAGTTAAGGTGTTATAGCAAAATTAATAAAATTTATTTACAACACATGGGCCATATTAAAAAAATTAAGGTGGTATATGGGGTCAAAATGTAAAAGTTAGGGTGGCATGGTAGAATTAATAAAACTTATTTACAACATATGGGCCATATTGAAAATATTAGGGTGACATAGTAGAATTAGCGAAAGTGAGATGGGAATAAATGATTTGGACAGTGACGACCAGTTGTTGTCACTAATTTAGAACTGGCAACCGTATTGTGACGATATTTTAAGTTGTCACTGTAGGACGAGTTTCAGTGACAACATATTTTCTAGTCGTCACAACGGTGATCTCCCGCCACACTGGATAGTTGCGCGCCATTCATATTGTGACGACTTATCTCGTGTTGTCACTGTTGACGGGTGAACCCACGATCAAGTATGACGATATTAAAAGTCGTCACTAAAGTTTTCAATTGTGACAACTTTCTCTCTTGTCGCAGAGAATGTTGTTACAAAAGACCAAATTTCTTGTAGTGAATACAACTTAAAGTCTTCAAAGGAAGGCAATTTAGTACTATTCACGAGCACTCTTGGTCTCAAACCCTGTTAAAGAAACCCAAAACGTGGGATGAGCTACACAGCCCAGTGAGGTTCCAAGACACTCTAGCAGTTCTAATAAATCGAGTAATTGAGCATACCGCATGTATGGTTCAGGGTTGCATATTGACATATGAATATGAGACAAGTATCATTCTACGAGTAATTTGAGCATATCGCAAGTATAGCACATTTGCATGAAACGGTTATCATTATATAAAATACCCACGCATTTGAAGGATACGGTGTTCCAGTGGAACCATTTCGGTCATCTGCAGCTTATAACTTCCGATCCCCACGGTACTGTCTGGTCATCACCTTATCACTCCAGTGGTAATACTCGAGTATACCGAAACGGTGGCTCAGGGTTCCAACCTACCCGATCGAGCCCAATCCTGACACGAGTAGGTTAGTAACCAAGGGCAGGGCCCAAGTTCAGCTTTAGAGCTTACAACATGCACAAATAATCAAATAACTTATCTAATGGTAAAAATTTATTCTTTTGGTAGGTCGAGTGAGATAAAGTACATACTCGCCTTAAAATGGTGGACAATTTCATATGAGCAATTACTAGCAACAATTAACACATAAACACATAAACAATATTTGATAATTTAATGTGAACATGTAATTTATAATAATCAAGTAATCAAGTACCAGGTAATCAAGTAGATAGGAAAACGGTAAGTAATTACGGTAAACGGTTAATGGTTGACGGTTAACGGTAGTAATTACGGTTAATTGGTATACATTAGTCATTTTAATAGGCCGCCATTGGCCGTTTCTCACTTTTACCACTTAAGAGTCGAGGAGGTTCACTCCAACCGATTTATGCAGCCATAGCATAATTAATTCAAGTATTTAAACACTTCACGTAAATATATAATTCAAGTATTTCATGTCGAGTAATTCACGTAGTCACGTAAATATGCTCTTCAAGCATTTCATGTCGAATAATCTAAGTATGCCTTACTTAAATATGCATGAATGTGGTAAATACTTAACATATAGCACTTAACACTTGACGATCATAGAATAAGCATGTTATAGACTTATTCAAATTACGTACTCCTATATGAAACACTCACCTATTGCAACAAAAGAGTAAGTGCGTATACAATCTTTCAGGTGTTCCCCTCGAGATCCTCTTGAAGGTCTCCTTGAGCACCTGAGCAAACAATAGTTGTCTATTACATACCATCGCTTAAAATTCCCTACTTATCGAGAAGGTTGTACTAGTGTTCACTCTAAGGAGAATTCATGAATTGAACCTTAATTATTCATAATCGAGGTTGGGAAGTGGGTTTCAAAAACGCAAGAGAAAACTGATTTCCGCCTTTGAAATCAAGTGTAAAACGGTCTAACAATATCGGAGGAAAATGGAGAGTTTGAAACCCTCAATTTCCTTTAAGTTCTGAAATTTCAGATTCGGCAAGCAAATTTTGAAAAATCAGATCTCACTCGCTATGAGTCCAAAATTGGAAAACTTGGTACCGTTGAAAATTACTTCCAAAGTACTAAAAGTTTCTAGAAGACACTTTTCTATGTTTCCAAACAGAAGGTATTCAAAAGTTGACTCAAAATTACTGCTGTAGAATACTAAGACAGTTTCAAGGTTGGTTTTTGGGTAACTTTGGAAATTCGGTAAAATTCAGACAATGTGAAATAGCCCCTCAAATTTGAAACTCAATTAGACTTGCAATTGAGTTTAAAACAAAACAAGTGGAACAAGAATTGGAGTTTCGAGCACCAAGATATGGCGGCTCAAATTTGCTGAAAAATGAGACCGTTGGCCTATTTTTCAGATTTAAATCACTAACTTTGGGACGTTGGTTGAATGTCGAAATGGATTTGGAATGGCACTAAATTTGGCAGTATTACACTACCATATAGGGGCTATTCCTCTACAAATTTTCACGCAAAATCTCGCACGGAAAGTCAATTAACAAAACTGTTGAAGTTTCAAGAATTTCTAAGGCAATCTGCCTTGTACCTTTGTTTTCCTTTTCTCAAACATTTGGCCACTAAAAACCTCTCAAATATCATTCATTTGTGTAGATAATGTCTAAGAAACATCCAAACTACATTTGGTAGGTGATTTACACCAAGAATTTCGAATAACAAGTTCAAAGTCAAGATTGGCCATTTAACTAGCCAAAAGAGGATTTTTACTCACTGCATCAGTTTCGAAATATGGCCACAACTCACTCAATTCAACTTGGAATTGAGCATGGTTGGTGGCGTTGAAAACTAGACTCATAAATATAGCCGACAAACAGCACTCAATTCCGACATTGGAGTAAAAAGATATAGCCGAAACAAAAATACTGCCTGGGTGAATACGGGATTAGTTTC